ACAATTTCTAGTTCCATCCATTTACCTGTAAATTTCAAGATTTCATCTTTCTTTACTGCTGAGTGGAACTCCATTGTGTAAATGAACTACATTTTCATTATCCACTCATCAGTTGAGGGGCACTTATGTTGCTTGCATCTCTTAGCTATTGTGAAAAGAGCAGCAACAAACGTGGATGTACAAGTATCTCTGCAATAGGACAAGTCCTTGGGGTATATGCCAAGGAGTGGTATAGCTGGGTCAAAAGGTAGGTTCATTTTTAGGCTTTTAAGAGTTCTCCACATTGCTTTCTATAGGGGTTGCACGAGTTTACAATCCCACCAGCAGTGAATGAGCATTCCCTTTACCCACAGCATTTCATATCGTTTGTTCTCTTGATGCTAGCCAGTCTGACTGGGGTAAGATAAAATCTTAAGGTGGTTTTAATTTGCATTTCCCCAATTACTAAAGATGTTGAACACTTTTTAAGCTGTTTCTTAGCCATCTTTCTTCTTTTGAGAAAGAACTCTTCTGTTCAGATCTTTAGCCCATTTTTTAATTAATTGGGCCTTTTTAAAAAATTCTTTGTTTTTTTCAGTTCTTTATATATTTTGGATGTTAAACCTGTCAGTCAGATGTGCCACTGTTGAATGTTTTTTCCCACTCTGGGTTTTCTCTTCATTTTGTTGGTTGTTTCTTTTACTGTACAGAAGTCTTTTAGTTTAATGAAGTCCCATTTGTTGATTGTTGACCTTAATTTCTGAGCAACTGATGTCCAATTTAGAAAAGTCCTTTCCTACACCTATGTCTTATAGGTTACTGCCAGTGTTTTCTTGTAACAGTTTCAGAGTTTGAAGTTTCACACAAGGTCCTTTGATCCATTTGGAGTTGACTTTTGTGCAAGGTGGAAGATAAGGGTCTAGTTTCATTCTTCTACAGGTGGAGATCCAGTTTTGCCAGCACCGTTTGTTGAAGATGCTGTCTTTCCTCCATTGTGTGTTCTTGGCACCTTTATCAAATATCAGATGGCTGAAATTGCGTGTTTGGGTCTTCAGTGATGTCCCATTGAGGACCCAAACATCCTTTTGTGCCAGTAAAATGCTGTTTTATGACTATAGTTCTGTGATACAGTTTGAGATTTGGTGTAGTAATGCCCACAGCATTGATCTTTGTGCTCAAGGTTGCTTTGGCTATCCTGGAGTCTTTTGGGCTTCCATGTGAACTTTAGGATGATTTTTTTAATTCATAAGTGTGTTGCTTAATCTCCAGAGTTTGTGTACTTACTAGGGTTTCTTCTGGTGTTGACTTTAAGCTTTATTGCATTGTAGTCTGATAGGATGCATGGAATTATTTCACTTTTTCTTTGTATTAGTTGAGGTTTGTTTTGTGCCCCAGTATTTGGTCAATTTTAGAGAAAGTTCCATGGGGTGCTGAATACAAAGTTTATTCTTTGCTGTTTGGGTGGAATATTTAGTAGATGTCTGTTAGGTTCATTTGATGTATGATATCATTTAATTTAGTTATCTCTCTATTTATTCTTTGTCCAGTTGACCTGTCTAATGGAGATACTAGAGCATTGAGGTCCCTTACTGTTACTGAGTTGGGGTTAATCTGTGTCTTAAAGTCCTATAGTACTGTTTTTATGAAATTGGGTGCACCAGAGTTTGGTTCATATATGTTCATGATTGTAATATCTTCTTGGTCAGTTGTTCCTTTGATCAGAATAAAGTGACTTTCTTTGTTGAGTTGAAATCTGCTTCTATCTATTATTGGTGTACTTTGGTTGATTTCTTATTGAGTATGTAAAGATTGTTGGACTAGGCTTCAGGCTCTCTCTTTCGATTTTATATTGCAAGTACCAGATGGCTTCAGTGCAGCTACTCAGGAGCTCCCTCAGGTGCCCAAGTCAGGCACCAGTCAGGTACTCTCAGGCTTTTTCCTAAGGTCTGGGTCCCTACTAGTAAATAGTCACAACACAGTTTGGGAAGTTTACTAAGGGAGGGCTCTATTTGGGTGCTCTTAGGCAGTCTGCAAAGGTGTGGGCCCTTATTATAAGGCAGAAAAGCCTAGCCCTGGGATGGAATGCAGGTAGTCCCGATGTAGGCAGGTAGGCATGGCAGGATTTGGGAAGCTCACCACCATGTGGAGTAGAGATCCAGATACTCTCAGGCCGTCTCCTACAGTCTGGGCCCCTACCTAAGGGCAGAGAAGCCTAGCCCTGGAACAGTATGAGGGACCACATCTGGTCTTAATGTAGGGGGAGGTACATGGTGAGGTTCAGGAAGCTTACCACCACGAGGAGACCAGATCTAGGCACTCTCAGGCAGTCTGCTAAGGTCAGAAGTCAAGTTTTTGTTTTTATTTATTGAATTTTTGTGTATTTCATACAGAAAATCATCTTTATACGCCTTTCCCCTTTGGTACCCTCCCATAGCCTCTCCACTGGAGTTCATACATTCTGTCATTTGTGTTAAGGCCTATCATGTAAAGTTAGTATCCCCAGATGTCCCTCAGTGCAAGTTAATCCACTGGGATCTAGTCAGCCTATCTAGAAGCCTTCTCCCTTTAAGAAGATCAGCTCTTCCTCACCCAGCAGTAATCAGCTGCCAATAATTCTTCGACTAAGATTGGGGCCTGCTGTTCATTTCCACAGTTCTGTGCTGGGTTTTCGTCTGCTTAAGTTTGCCTGGGTCTTGTGCATGCTGACACCATTGCTAGAGGTTGTATGAGAAGAGGCCCAGGAGCCTATATATAGGTCTATATCCATATGCTCATGCACCTCCTCCCTGGCTCTTACAATCTTTCCACCCCCTCTTTTGTAATGATCCCTGAGCCCTAGGTGGGTAGATTTTGAGTATAGCTGAAGACTATATAACAAGAAATAAGACTATATAACAAGAAACAGTACTAGACAGGAGAAACCTTCCTTTGAGTTGTTGGCCAGAGTAGTCTTAAGAGACTCCCAAAATCACACAGGCTATTGCCACAGTCCTTGATTGCCTCCCAGAACTTGGAGGTAAGACCCTATTGCTGACGGCAGGACATACTTTTGACACAGGATTTGGCGCATTGGGGCTGGAACTGACCTGGAAGTCACCTCCCCTGAAGGCTAGTTCTCTTAGCTTTGGAGAGCACTATGCAAGCTTGTAAGGGAGAACATTGATGCAGTAATGGCACTTTTATCTTGGGGATAATCAACAGCTACCTAATTGGACTCAATGGGAGGAAACGTGTGTGGTACTATAAACCTAACCAAATACACGTAACTGGAGAAGTCAGAAACCTTAGAGAAAATTCTAAGGCTGTCACATCCCTAGACAAATGTAATATGGATCCTTAAATCTATAGACAAATATCCCAGTCACTACCCATCAAAGAAGCTTCTTTTTCAAGAGACAGAGATAATTACATTACAGAGTTCCACAACATTGTCTGTGAATTGCCCAAATCTAAGTGGCACATCTAGGATGCAACCTGTGCACCTAAGGCTTATGGAACATAGAACAAGGGATGAAGAAAACACTAATGCATCTTTCAGTTCTCATTGGTGAAGCTAGCTCCCTTATGCAACAGAAGGTCAGGAAAGCAAAACACAGAGAATGAGTCTGTAGAGTATGGGTCCCTGGACAGTAGATCAGTTTTTGGTTTTTTTTTAATAGATGATCATTAAGACATTGTCACCACAGGCCTCTCAAACAGGCATGGATTAGAATTATCTAGAGGTTCTAGTTAAAACTACCACATCTCGCACAAATCTAGGATGGGGCCCAAGATGAACTTTTCTGAGAAAGCTCTCTACTGGAGCTAATGCTACTTGTCCACACATCACACTTTAAGTAGTAAGGAGAGTGTCAGGATGTACTTGAGAATGTGTAGTGAATGAAGTGCCAGACGATGTCTTCTGGGATCAATGTGAAGCCTATATGATGAGGAGAGTAGATAGGTGACAAATTGAGCCTCAGAAGAGCTAGAGTTTTTGTAATGGTGACGTAGAAATTTTGAAATTACGTTCAGAAGTGAGGGTGAAGGCATCAGCAGACTATGTTCTGCTTTTAAGTCCATGGGCATGGGGGTGGGGGGCAGCTTGTTAGAGAAAAGAATTTCTAATCCAGGCTTGAGAAAGAACAGTTTTGGTTTTGCTTTGTTTTTCTTTTTCTCTTTTCTCCAATAGGAGAGCTGAGTTTCCATTAAAGCAGAAATTATTGTTGGTAATGTTTAGACTTTGATCTTGTCTGAGAGTAATAAAGAAGTGATGTAGAGTAAAAAAAAAGTGTTTGCAAATCATGGGTTGATTTTAGAAAGGAGTGAGGAGCTCATGGAAGAAGGCAAGCAGTGGATTTGTGGGATGGGCATACAAGGAAATATATGCATAAACAGGGAATTTACATTGAGACAGGAAGGGAGCAAATCTGATAATCTGTCATTCAATAGCAAGCATGTAAGCTTTGGATCTTCTTGTCTAAGGAACTAAAGTAGACACAGATTACATGGCATTGCTCAATTAATGGGGACCAAAAGGATTGTTAGAAAACCATGGACTATGAAATGTGCCCTATTTGATGGTTACGTTCCCCACAAAATTCTGAGCAGTATAAACTGTTCAGTGTTTACTTTTGTCTCCAAAGGATAATGTGTAAGATAGAGATAGGCTGGAATTAGGTAGAATTCTCTAAGGTAAAGGTGACCATGATAATTTTGGCCAAAGATTTTTCACTAAAAGTACTGAAACTTACTTGTTCAATAAAATTGATAGAATAAAGCAGAGAACTGAAAGCTGATTAGAATTAGCTTTGCTCTTAATTTCTTCCTAAGGGCAAAATTGTACCAGTTCTTCATTGTGAATGTCTCACATTCATGCACTATATCTTTGGCAAAGCTTAAAAACCATGTCACATTATTAGTGTGCCTAAGCCTAGGAAATGAGTTGTGATTTGCTTCAGTCATGTTACTTTGTAGCAGTTTTATTTTGTTATTTGGTATCAGATCTCAATTTACCCCTATATCTGTGGTTTTGCTTTCAGAAACCACTAATGATTCAACAGCTGATGATGTAGTTGAAAATCATGTTGCAGACCAACTTACATCAGACATGACACCACATGCTATGGATACAGAATTTTCGGCATCTCCAGCTAATCTTCTGGAACGACCAACCAATCACACGGAGGCTCTTGGTCATGACCATTTAGGAAGCAATGACCTCAATGTTGGTGGGTTTTTAGAAAATCATGATGAGCCAAGGAATAAAGAACAGTGTGCTGAAGAGAATATACCAGCATCTTCACTTAACAAAGGAAAGAAATTGATGCATTGCAGAAGCCATGAAGAGGTCAACACTGAACTAAAAGCACAAATAATGAAAGAGATCCGGAAGCCAGGAAGAAGTATGTATAACTAGAGACAGAACTTGGGTTTACTTTATCTGTGTGCTCAAAATAAGAAAAGAAACAAGTCAAATTCACTGAAAGTATACGTCTGATTCTAGATCAATCTTGAATAGTATCTGAACTGTGTAAGATATAACTCTTTATTTAGCTAAAAGATGCTGAATAATCTTGTTAAGTTCAAGGTACCAGAGCTTGGCAGACAGCAAGGACTGGTAGCGGAAGAAGATCCATGGATAAATTACATGTAGCTGCCCTGACAGGGACCCAGAGTTTTGGCTAGTATTTAACCAGCAATTGAAATTTTATTTCATTTATTTTATTTTTTTACTTTATTTTATTTGGTCTTTTTGAGACAGGGTCTCCCTATAGCCCCAGGTGGCCTGGAACTCACTATGTTGACCAGGCTGGCATTGAACTCACAGCGATTCGCCTGCCTCTGCCTCCCGAGTGCTGGGATTAAAGGCGAGTGCCACCATGCCTGGCAGCAGTTGAAATTTTAATAGAACAAAATAACACCCCCAAAGATGTGGTGAATATTATTAAATTATTGGGTATGGGTGTTGGGCTGACAAATAATAGCTCAGAGTTTAGTTCCCAACACTCCCAAAGCAAACAGACCCAAAACAAAAACAAAGCAAAATGAACTGTCTGTGAAGTTCTTCTCTGGTACCTTTGTATAAACTATGATTACTATGATAGTAACCAGGAATATGTTTCGGCCTCTAAACCATGTCTGTCATGAATTTGAAAGAACTCTGTGGGCATGAGAATTTTGAATATTATGGTCATTCATTCAAGAAATAACAGATAATGGCTATGATGATACAGTGAAAAGTGGGTGGGCCAGAAGCAGGTAAGGCCTTGGTGCTCAAGAGCTTGTGTGACCCTTGGGGGAGTTACATGGGAAACTCGAAATTGAAGCAGTACCTTTACCTGTTCCCCACCATCTTAGTTAGAGTTTAGAATTTAAATGATAAAGATGATTTTTGTAAAGACCATTTGCCTCTTTTTCTGGTACTATTGCAGAACTTTTTAATTTATCCCTCTATATTTTGTTTGGTAGATTATTGAGAACTTCTTCCTTTGTAATACTTGGCAAGTTGTTTAAGTTGCGTTGATAAATATTTTCTTGCACGTATGTTAGTAATGTTCTACAGAGTCTTTAACAAGTGATAAAATTTTTATGTAGAATATTTTTGAGCATATCTCAGTATGAAGAAGCTGCAGGAGAAACGTTGTAAGAATACAAATAAAAGTCACTAAATTGTTTTTTTTTCTCTTGATTTAAGAATATGAAAGAATCTTCACTCTACTGAAGCATGTGCAAGGCAGTTTACAAACAAGGCTAATATTTTTACAGAATGTTATTAAGGAAGCATCCAGGTAAAGAACTTGGACATTATGAAATGATAATGAAGTCATTTCCCTTTGCATGTGTGATGTTTTATTCTGTTATATCCTGTGGTATTTATGCATACATTTGATACACTTGATATGAGGTTTCTTTTCCTTTGTTCATTGAAACTTGTTCATTGAAATGACTATACAAATTCTTCAGAATTTATGGGTCTTTTTACGGTAAATTATTACGTACTTTGGAAAATTCTTAATTCTTCTCTGTTTTTCAGTGGTGTTGTAAGCCTTTAATTTTTTCTTTTCTATATTAGTAATTGTTGGTGATTAGAAATAACCTTGAAAGGTAATATTTGAATGCAGTTTATTTTTACATGAATGGCATGTAGTCAAGCAGATTGTGTACTTAAGTGCACGGAATGTGAACTAAGGCTCATTTGTAGATGAGGCTGTGAGTACAATTAATTGGAAAACATACTTGCATAAGCTTTAAAATACATTTTAATTTTTCCTTCAGGACTTAATTTTAGTATTATGATTAAACTTGGGATTTATGTATCTGATCTTCCAAGTGGAAGCATAGCGCTACCTGTCTGTGAAGGTCTTAGATTGAAACATTAACTTTTTTCTTATTTTGGGATGGCTTGGGCATAGTCCACTTTGAATGATCAAGATAAGGCTGGAACTTTTCTTTTAATTTGGAATATTTAAATTATTCTGGTCTTTATGACAACTCTGTCCTTTGGTCAGTTCAAAGCATGTCCTGGATTTTTGTTGTTGATTTTAAGACAGTCTTGCTATGTAAACTGGCCTCAAACTTAAGATCCTTCTGCCTTAGTCTTCAAAGAGTTAGAAGATGATATTGCAGTAACTGCTTTGGGAGTTTTACTGGAATGTTTAGAGTCCTCGTATATATTGGTATTTTTCTTTTCCTTTTTTGGTGGTAGGAGGAATAACCCTCTTCCACTGTTCCTAGGACTAGATTATTTATTCTAAGGAAAAACTGTAATTCTCTTCTGGCTTTGGGGAAGATTTTTTTTTTTTTTTAATGAAATGAAAATGAAAAACACACTCAGTAGTTTATAAATCTTCCAGATTTTTTTAAACATTGGTTATTTATTTTTAATATTTTATTTATTGTTTTTATTTTATGTGTATGAGTGTATTGCTTGCATGTATGTGAGTGCACCTGTGTCATGCAGTGCCACAGAGATCAGAAGAGGGCTTCGGATTTCCCTAGAACTGGAGTTAAGAACGATTCATAGCCGCCATGTGGGTGCCGGGAATTGAACCTAGGTACTCTGCAAGAGCAGTCAGTGTGCTTAACCACTGAGACATCTCTCCAGCCCCCAGAAGATTTTTTTAAAAATTAATTTATTTTGGGGCTGGAGAGATGGCCCAGCGGTTAAGAACACTTACTGTTCTTGCAGAAGACTCGGGTTTGAATCCCAGCACCCACACAGCAGTTCACAACTGTCCATAACTCCAGTTCCAAGAGAACCAACACACATTGCACACACAGGTACACTTGTATACATGCAGGCAACACACTCATAAAAAAATTTTTTTGACCTTTTTGAGACAGGGCCTCCCTGTAGCCTCAGCTGGCCTGGAACTCACTATGTAGACCAGACTGGCCTCAAACTCACAGAGATCCAACTGCTTCTGCCTCCCAAGTGCTGGGACTAAAGGCATGCGCCACCGTACCCAACTTTCACACATAAAATTTTTGAAAAAGAAATTTTAAAGAAACTTTAAATCATTTACAGAAAATATCTGTTCTATGTTCTAAGATGGTAGGTTAATGCAGAAATTTTAAAGGCAGTTAGTAACCAAGAAAAAGTAAGGAATTTCTTTTTTTTTTTTTTTTTGAGACG